TCTCTTCCCCTACCAAATGCCTTCTCCATTTTTAAGGTCCCAGGAGCTCCAACTAATGATCCTGGATGCTAGCAAGCCTCTGCACACTGGCTGCGCCACAGGGACTGCTTCACAGAGCCTTCCCAGTCCAAATTGCACAGCGAAACAGAACTGGAGCTGTTGTACCGTGCCGTGCTCTGTCAGCTGAGGGCTGTGCATGTCACACAGGAGCACTGCTGTGATCCAGAGCCTAAGGCAGGCTCTTTTCAAGCTCGTTCCTCAGACACTGCACTTGCACTGCATCCCTGAAGTAACCTACAGCCTCACCCGAGAGGGGAAAGACTCTGAGCCTTGTGTTACAATGAGGAAGACGCAGGCAGGGATGAACACTACATATCAGTCATAAAAGACACAAGATCTGATTTCCAGGAGAAGCAGACACCCACAGCTGCCTGTCACCGCAGCTGCACCACCAGGAATCAGTCCCAGGGCTGAGGACTCCTGTGTGCGGCCACAGGGTCTGACATCCGAGCACCGGCAGCGCTCGGGGCTCACCTCTTCCAGGTTCTTGCGCACGCCCTCCAGGAGCTGGGAGCTGTCGGGATCCTGCACCGCCTCCTGCGCTCTCTGCATGTCTCGGCGCCACTGCTGCTTGGCAGCCCTCAGAGCCGTGTGCCTCCTCTTCATGGAGCGGGTCTGGCGCACCAGGAACTCCTTGGCGTTCCTGATGGAGACCTCTTCTGCAGAGATGTAGCTCCTGACCCTACATGACAGGAACAGGCATGGTCCTGGCTTGGTGCTGGCTGTGCCATCCTGCAAGCCTCGGGCAGCACCCTCCCCAAAAACGGGTTGGTGGTGAACAAAGGCGTTTGCTTGTACTAAACAAGAACAACCACCTTCCGGAAGCAGCTGGCGTACGGATACTCACTGATCAAACTGGAGGTTGCTGTCCTCATGGCTTTGGGAGGGGGGGGAAGCAGGCTCTCCAGATGCGTGCTGAGGAGTTGAAACATGCCAAAAACTAAGAAATAGGTATGGGAAACGGAAGCCCAGGACCCCGTAAGAATCCAGTTAGCAGAAAGTAAAAAGCCAGAAGGACATCACCGTGGTATTGCCCAGACCCAAAACAAAGACATCTCCACCCCTGCTGCAAGCCCTGCTTTTCACTGCAAGGACACTCAAGTATCCCACACTCCTTTACCCCCAGTAATAATCAACAGAAATCAACAAATACTAAACATATTGATGTCCCCTGGCACAGAGAAAGGCATTGCTGCGTCTCAAACGAATTCACACAGAAGGAACAAAGGCTGGCATTTTCAAGGGAGTTCCAGCCTCAGATCTCACCAGACAGACACTTGACAGTCTGCTTTACTCACAGCTTGAAGCGTTTCTCTCAGGTCTTCCACGTGGAGCTCAGCTTTCCTTTTTGGAGACTCCAGGCTTTCTTCTGCCTCCAGTTCTTTCAGAGTCTCCTGTTTGCTCCTGACAGCTGCCTCCTGCTCGCTGTCCCAAGAGAAGGCAACAGCACGGCTGTGATCAGACACTGGGTTAGACTGCAGGGCCGTCCACCCCAGTAATCTGCCCACAGCGGTGTCCAAAGCAGCCCCCAGTTTCCAGGAGGAAAAGGGCCACGGATGCGCAAGGCAACACCAGTATCAGGTCTGTGGTGCTGTCAAACACAACCCCTGGTGGGCAGGGAAACTTTGCTTCATCCCCTTACCCAGAGGGTCAGCGATCAGGAAAACCTTTGCTCTGTGTTTCAGTGCCCCTCCCAAAGCATCTCATTGACCCTCACGAGAGAGGTGGAGAAGACAAAGCAGCGAACCAGGCAAGCAGAGGTCGCGGGACACATTTACACAGCGAGTTATTAACAGATCTGGAAGCAGACCCCAGGACCTCCATGCCCTCAAGCCACCACTGGGATGCTAAAGGAATATGGCTCAAGACGCAAGAAGCTCAGAGGTAAGGGAGAGGTGCGGGTGAGGTCACAGAGGATTTGGCTATGGGCAAAGCGTACATTTTTTACATTAGAGAACAAGTCTCATTCACACACCTGATGCGTTTCTGCAGCCTCTGGCTTCGCGTCCGCAGCAAGTCCACCTGGACCTCCAGCTCAGCCTTCTGGTCCTGGAGCTCCTCCAGGCCCCTCCGCAGCTGCTGGATGGACTCCAGGAGGTTGGCCTGCTCCTTCCTGCTCTCCTCCAGGCGGACCTGGGAAGCTACAGCAGCTTCCTAGCAGAAAACCAAACCCATCCCTCACAGTGATCTCCCCAGCACCAAAACACTCAAGAGGCTTGGTCCCAGAGCCGCAGACGCACGCAGCAGCCCTGGAAGAACAGGACTGTCTCTTTGGGGAACAGCTCGGAGCTAATGGAGCTCCCAGCAGGACGGCACTCCCGGCTGAGCCAGGGAGGCGCTGCAGGCTCACAACCCAGCAGCAGTTTGCTTTTTTAAAGCCAGACTTGTAGCGTGCTGACCTCACTCCAGAGGAGGAGCAGCACAGCGGCTCCCCACAGCCGAGGCATACGTACGTCTCTTTCTAGCTCCATCCGTTTGCCCTCATCCAGCAGCTGCTGCCTTCTCTGCTTCAGAGACTCCTCCTGTGCACAGACGAGGAAGGAGGTGAGTGGCACAGTGAGGAGATTGCTGATGCTGAGCAGCACTCGAGGTACAGAGCTCGGGTCTAAGCCTCATGACCACTCAAAACACCTGAGGATTCTTGTCAGCTTTGCTTCCCCCCACCCCAATTCCAGCTCCCTCCCTTTGATTTCAAGTGAGAAGCTGGGAATATCTGCACTGCTGTGGGAGGAACACCCCTTCCTGCTCAGCTCAGAGTATTGAAGGCACATGAAGGGTTCTGCAGGATCTTGCTGCTGTGAAGCCTCTGGCTGCCTCCAGCATTTCTCCACTATTTTTTTACCTCCTCACTCCAGTGCTGCTTGGAAAGGAAGAGCTGACAGAAGCAAGGTTATCTACAGCCCTTGGCACAGCCCAGGCCTTAAGAGATCTGGCAGGCAAGAGCATCAGGCAGGGACTTGCCAGCTCCACGGGAGCATTTGGAGAGCTTCCCTCTCCCTCTCTGCTGCCCGAGAGCCAGCAACACTCGTTCCCTCTTCACAGCAGCAGGGAGGAGGTGGTAAACGGGGAAGGGACTGGCTATAACCTGAACTGATGCTGAGCTGGAGACACTGCCTTGAAAGGCTCCTGTGATCCCTCTGACACTCTTACAGCCACGTACCGTCTCCCAGAGCCCTGAGCAAGCCCACAGCACTGCTTTTCACTGCCAACATTAGCTGTGGGGCTGGACCCACTGGTGAGGGAAGTGTTACCCGTAGCTTGGATGGCAGCAAAAGCCTTGGCTGAGCACTTCTGAGAAGTCCCCCAAGAGGAAGGGGCCAGAGGAGCAGCACGGGTTAGGAAACCTCTGCAAGCCCCATAGAGCTGGCTCACCTGGCTGAGGAGCTGTGCTGATCTGGCTTGGATGTTCTTCATGCGGACATCAAGCTCGTTTTCTGAATCCTGGAGTCTTCTTTCCTGCACAGAGATGCCGAGTTCAAAGGAGAACAGCACAAGGTCCTTGCTCACCAGGCAAAGCTCCGCCATCAGGAGGAACAACGAAGCCTGGGGAAGCGTGACCTGCCACTCGTGTCGCCCCGGGCTGCAGGGGTTGGCAGGGCCACCAAGGTACCCAGGCCATCCCCAAGCAGCCAAATCAGTGACCTGCCTGGCAAGGCGTTCTCACCTTCTCGCTGTGCCTGTGCTGCAGTGCAGTCAGCCGCTCGTCCAGCTCTGCCTGCAGAGCTTTCGCCTCTGCTTCGTGGAGCTGTTGCAGCCGCACGGTCTCGCTGCGCAGGCCTTCCAGCAGCTCTGCCCTCTGCTTTCTCTCCTGTTTATTGCCAAATAGGAACAGGAAAAGCATCTGAGTGAAGCACAGGGTTCTCCAGCAGGCCAGCATGAACACACAGGACACACCTCTCTGGAATCAGAGCCCAGCACACAGCAGCTCCTGAGCAAGCACCAGATCTGGCAGATTAAAACCTCTTGCCTACAGGGCCAACATGGTTAAGGGAATGGCACAAGACAGAAGAAACTAAGGCTTTGTCACACCCTGCTGACTGTAGCCAGAATGGGAAGCAGGAGGCTTTCCAGAACAGGCACCTGCAAAAATGGGAACCTTCTTCTCCAATACAGAAGTCCACAAGTGCACGTGGAAGCTGCCTGCACAGAGAGCCTTTGACAGCTTATCCTTATAACCCCAGCCTCAATTCACTTGACTTCATGGCAATGATGTCTAGTCCTTCTAGAGGAAGAGAGATTTCTAATTCTAGGAGTGGCTGAGGTGGGCAGTGCTGGCAAACAGCAGTGCCAGCCCAACCAAGTGAGCCAGTGCAGTCACCTCCCAAATTCACGGCTCCCCCAGCAGTACCTCCTCCTCGTACTGATCCCGAATCCGTGCCAGGACCTTCTGGTGCTCCTCTTTCATGCTCTCCATTTTTTTCTCATGGTCTTTTTCCAATTCCTGGCGTTTCTCTCTCATAAGCTCACTGAGCTGCAGGGATGGCACATAAAGATGTTACTCTGAACTGCAGCATTGCACTACGGTGCCCTCCCAAGAGAGCAACCCCTCCTATGAGCAGGGGGGCTGAAGCTCGGGAGCACCTTGCAAGCGGGGTCAGCCTGCGGCCTGGGCAGCACAGAGCAAGGCCCTGCTGAGTTGAGATGCAGCAGGGGTGTCCTTTTCCCCAGGGAGCACCCCTTTGCCTCCACAGTCACCCCTGGCAGGGGATGTGGCCGCTCAGACCTCCCCAGGCCTGCAGGGGGAGAGGGTGACGAGCCCTCGGCAGCCCGAGGTGAACACTTGCCTCACGTTCGTACTCGGTCACTTGACGGGCTTTGTGCTGCACTTTGTGCCCCGCTCTCTGCAAGTTGTCACGCAGCCGAGCCTCCTCGCTCCTCTGTGCCTCTGCTATCTGGGTTTGCAGGCTGGAAGTGACCTGCCATGAAAGCCACCCACAGACTTGTCACCCTTCTGACAAGATCCATTTAGTGCCCTCCTACAGAGAGCAAGCAGCGCTGCAGGGCCCAGCGTGTGCAGTCTCACCACCCCCTGCCTGGAGCACGGCCAAACGCTGAGCCAGACCAGAACCACATTTAGGAAGTGGGAAAAAAATAACGCCACCCTCCCCGGCCACCTCTGGTGACAGGGTGGGGAAAAACCCATCTACATTTTAAGGACACCATCTTTTACCTTACGATGCTTCTCTTCCGCCGCAGATTTCAGCTGCTGGAGTTCAGCTGCAAGCTGTGTCTCTAGCTCTTCTACTGCCTACAGAACACGAGCAAGAGAGCCTGCTGGAAACCTCCACGTGTGGGGGCATGCTGAGCAAGATGCGTTTGCAATTAATGGCTACCCATAAGCATCAAAAAAGCGCAACGGTAGACTCCTTTCAAACCAGACTACATACAAGGTGCTTCTCCTCCCAGGAGATCTCAACCCTGCTGTGCTGGAAGGACAAGCAGCCTCCATTCAAGCGCTCCCCAGGCTCCCTGCAGCACTGGGGCAGCTGCCAAAGAGGTGTTCTGGGCCGAGAAAATGCCTGGGTTTACCTTGGCCGGGACACAGCGATCTCTTTTCAGATGCAATGGACGTTTAAATAATTGCTATTTAATCACCACTGTAATGAAAACAGGGGGAGTACTCCTCCTCTAACAGCATGCCTGACATCTCTCCTTTACCTTTTAGAGGACTCCTTAGTAAAGCACATGCAGATGTCATTTGCCCTCAACACTTCAGCACTGCAACGCAAGCCAGGTCAGCATGAACAGTGCAGGTCTGACCCTCTCTGGCAGTAAACATCTCACCTTCTGCTTTTCCCTGGCCAGTCTCTCCTTGAGCTCACTCAGGAATTGCTCCTTCTCCTGTTCCAGCCCAGCCCTCTCTTTCTGCTGAGCTTCCTCCAGTTCCAGCTTTATTTTCTCCAGCACAAGCTGCTGCTTCTTCTCCAGCCTTTCCTTCTCCATCACCTGCTGGGACTCCCACTCTTCTCTTATCTTCTGCAGCGCCGCCTCCTGCTCTGCCCTGAGGGGTTTGCAGCAGGGACAGACAGAAGCAAGTCAGAATTTGGTACTTCACTGCTGGGCCCCATTTAGGAACCAGAGCTCATTCACATGGCCCAGAGCCGTGCCTGCTCCCACATTACAGCGACATCTCTCTTCAGGACACATACTCTGTTTATTTAACAAAACTTGACCAGCTCCAAGGCAGCAGAGCTGTCACCATTAAGCTCCATCACCTTTACCTCTATTGACAGCTCCCCAGCACACACAGCACCACGGTTTGGGTCTGGTACTCACTACCCAGGCAGGGTACCAGCTACGGGAGGCTCTGGAGGGCTGGGACCTCCACTTTGGGCAGCTGCATCATGCAAGATGCCTCCCCCCCAAACCAGCAGAGTTTGTGCCCCCAGGGCTGGCAGCGCCCTAGGAGCTGCAGCCAAACTTTTCACCTTATCTTCTCCTCCTCTGCCTCCATCTCCGAGGCGATTTTGGCTCTCAGCTCTAAGAGTCTCTCAGTTTCTTCCTTTCTGACACGCAATTCTTCCTCCTCAGAAATCTTGGCCAAATCTTCTTTCAGAGTCCTGGGAGAAAAGCAGCCAGAAACAAGGAAACAGATGTCACCAGGAGGCTTTAATATCACCAAGCTGCCTCCCTTTGCACCCAGGACAGAGACATCCAAGTCTTGCAGGACATGGGAAGATGCTCCCTCACCTGCACTGGAGAGCACTTCCTGAGGCAGGCTGTGCTCTCTACACATCTGCTTTAAGGTTTTACAGCACCACCAGCACATCACTGTTCAAGATGTGCAGATCCTCATGCACAGGACTGTCTGTGCCAGGCACCATCCCATGCTTCTCCTCCCCAAAAGCCCTGTTCTTGCCTCCTTCACCCACAACTCTGCAGAGTGGCACCACTTCCAAGGTGGTGGCTTATAGCAGCACAAGCCTGCAGCCACCAGCAATGAAATTCAGGTAGGAAAGGCTCAGGGGAGAAAAAGGGGAGATGGAGTAAAAACACAAGTACCTGAGGGATTTTTCTTTCTGCTCATGAAGACTCTGAGCTTCCTCCTCATCGTCCTCCTTCATCTCCTCCTCGAATTTCTGAATTTCCTCCTCCATTTCTTGCAATGAATGTGTTTTCTCTTGCTCTAGGTCCACCTCCAGGTCCTTGCTTATCTCCTCCAGGGATTCCTCACTAGATGACTGCTTCAAGGACTGCTCGTGCTCAACTTCCTTCTCAAGGGGCCTACCAGAAAAGGAAAACTCCTTTGGCCAAAGGGTGACAGAAAGCTGAGCAACACGGAAGGAACAGCAACATCCCCCCAAACAATATCAGCTCCGAACCAAGAGTCTCAGAGTCTCCTACTCCATGAGCTGCTGTGTGCTAACTCAGCTCATGCTCAGGGCTTTGAGCTGCACATTATCACAGGTACCAGCTTGGAGATGCCCCCACGCACCGCTGGTGGGACCTCTCATCGACTCCCAGACTGATAAACACAGTCCCAGCAGCACTCTGGTCCCAAATAACTCGTATTTGGCCCACCACATCTCACCTTGCCAGGGCGACACAGCCCCGCTTCATGAAGGATGCTGTAGCTATGAGACCCTGGCAAAGGCTGGCAGGCAGAAAAGCAGATGCAGTCGGTCCCTGTTTGCAGCCAGGGACTGGCAGAGCGCTGCTGACGGACCAGGTATTTCTCTGCAACCGCAGCCTAAAGTGTGCTGGGAGTTTGCCAGCTCCAGGCAACGGAAAGCCCTAAGCACTCCAAAAATTCAAACCCAATCTGTCTCTAATTAGGTTTTTTTTTCAGAGAGAGAAGCAGCAAAAGTATAAGGTCTGAGAGAGGCTGAAGGGGAAGGAGGAGAAAATGAAGATCAGTCTAGGAACAAAGTTTTCATTCTCAGCGGGGTCTCATCATGCTCTGAGACTGCTAGCGTAAGGCAGAGGGACTTGTGTTTTGCCAGGAATTGGGGAAATAACAGCCTCAGCTCTTCCTTAAGGGAGACCCACCCAACACACACACATTTATGAACTCAACACAACTCCTAATAGGAAAAGGGAGTTGCTGTGCTGGTCTCCCCGTCAAAGACTGCTTCTCCACTACTTTTCTGAGCGATGCACTGCCTAATTGTTCCAATTGCATCCGCTGATCTGTCGTTGGACACAGGACAGAGTCAGCACCGTCACTGCCACCGAGATCCCCTATGGCAGTGGCGCTGCGGGTGCATCCCTGCAGGGACCATCGGGTTAGCCCTGGCTTGCTCTGCCACCCTGCGCTCCCACTCCACCATCTCAGAGCAACCAGTGCTCCCAGTGACACACGCGGGGCGGTTCATCGGGTTTTTGTTGCTGCCCCTGCTCTCAGCAGCACTCAGGAGCCAGTGTGAGCGCATTTGTCAGCGAGTGCGAATGCCCACAGCCTTGCCAGCGACACGGGTAAGGAGGAGGCTTTTCCAAGCGCAAAGCACGGCTCTTTCTCCACCCCACGGAGCCCTGTGCCCCAGCCCAAGGGCTGAGCCGCTGTTGTCCCCCCGTCCCCGTCCCCGTCCCCGGCACTGCCGGCTCACTTGGCGCTCTCACCAGCGAAACAGCTGCTGGCATTTGCATACAGCAGGTTTGAGCTCTGCTGTGCCACCACACCGCGACTCCTGCCTGCACACACCGCCTCCAAGCACCACAACGGGGGACAGAAGGACAGAAGCCGTTATGCTGACAATACGGGGACTCAAACGAAGCCCTTACGCTTTGTGCGGGGCAGCAAGCTCCTCCAGATTCTTTAGGCTATCCAGCGATCCCTCCTTCAGCTCCTGGGCCACCGACTCCTCCTCATCGGGCTTTTCTAAAGCAAAGCTCTTCTCTTCCGACGCTTCACTTTGATCCATCTCGCTTTGCAGCACAAAGAAAGGCAACACAAGACCGGGTTAGCACAGGTTAGATTTCAGTGGCTGCTGCAGGTAGAGGAGACGGGGAGGACGGGATGTGCAGCTGACTCCGATGGGCACCCAGCCATGCCTGCCAACGGGCCCCCTTGGTCCAACACGGGCTGCCAAGGGAGCAGCACGGCTCCAAGCCATTCCCAGCACCTCCGGCCCCGCCACGCTAACAGGCAGCGGAGGATTTAATGGCTGACAAGCTCAAAACGCTGAATCTCTTCCCTGGATTATCCCCCTCTCTTTCCAAGTCCTCCGAACATCTCCCCAAGGTAAGTCAGCCCTATTAGCAGTACTCACGCTGTTGTCCAAATTACAGACGGAAATGTTGGCAGGCATGTTTACATCTACAGTCCTACTTCATCTCGGAGGTACAGGGAAGAGAGACAAGGCAAGCACAGGCTGGCTTTACAGGCAGAGAGAAAGAGGATGCACAGCTGGGAAGCAGGTACCAAGTGATAAGGAGACAATTCCTGCAGGCAGAACACATTTTTGGGGACCTTCACATGAGCAGCTCCTGTACAAACGAGGCTGCAAATCCCAAGCGCACACAGCCAGTCATTAAGATGGACTGCAGCCTCTTCTGTTCACAACTTTCCCTGGCACAGGCACCAGCACCTTGGCTCCCAGTGCCCCACAGTAGGTGTAACTGTGCTCAGAGGCTAAGAGCTTTGACACGGTTCATCTATAAACGCCACAGGCTGCCGCTCTGAGAGGCACTCGAGAGAGCGGGGAGCTCACTGCTCAGCATGGTTATTTCACCTGTTTTACACAAATCTCCACACGCAGGCTGAAAATAACTGCCCCAGCCAGCCCGGTCCTCCCAGTGACCAAGGGTCTGGGAACCAGCATTGCCCCTGGGGTAATCACTGGTGCACCCCACTGAAGTGTGCACATAGCAGGATGTAAAAAGGCTTAATGCTCACACCCGGCCAGCCAGTGCCTTGCTGCAGGCCACCTCTGCGGAAGGAAGAGGAAGAAAACTGCTCACACCACAGCTGGGCTCTCCTGCAACCAGTAACAGGCACCAGGCTGGCACTGGGAGCCTTTGGCTACCGGCTCTGCCCAGTGAGGGGCTGGCAGCCCAGCAGGACCAGCACTGACCAGCACTGGGGGCTGTCTCAGAACCAGAAAGGGCAGTGGCTGAGTCTTCCATGGTTAAACACCATGGGCACGCGGTGTTACCAGGTCTGGGTCAATGTCGGCAAAAGCACAACTTCCAGAGCCTCAGAGAAGAGCCAGACAGCTGTAAGGGAAGCAGGAGCCAGCTCCACATGTGGGGCAGCCACAGAGAAACGAGACAGGCCATTTTGCTGCCCACCCAGCCAGGAGCCGAAACAAAGCTGAAGTCTGCCGAGACAGAACTAAGGAGGGGGCAAGAGAAGCGAGAGGTTTAGTGGGAAAGACCCTGTGAGAAGCTGCAGCACCTCAGGGTGTTTACAGGGGACATCCGGACAGGTTACAGCGAGCAGAGCAGGGGCAGACAACAGGAAAGTCATGGAGCCTGGGCAGTCCACGCCTCCTTCGCTGCTCTGCTTGTACCATACCTCTCAGCAGCTTCTGTTCGTTTGCTTTGCTCTTCCTCTACAATGGCTTTGCTTTGGTCTTTTTTCTCTTCTCCCAGCTCCAGGGCCTGCAGGTAAAAGCAAACAGTGTGGACTTTGCTGGACCCTTCACCAAAAAGCCTCTCTGGACCTTACAGCGGTTCTGCTGAAGGGCAGCACCGCTCTGGTCCAGCACAGCGCTGAGCCCAGGGACCAAACAGGACCCAGTAGCTCCTCCAGATGCCACCAAGTGTGCCAGCCTCCTGTCCCACAGGTAACCAAGGGGCTCCAGGCATCGCAGGAATGGGGGGTTGCTTTTTCTGTATGGAAGGTGAACTCCCTGCCAGGGCTAAGCACTTTGGACACAGGTTTGGTCTTTTCCTGAAGGTCACCTTACACACTCACGTAACACCAAACTCCCTGAAATTTATAAGACAAAAGTCTCCTCCAAGAGCAATGTCACACGTGTGCCACAGCCACAAAGCACCTTGAAACACTGGCTGTGCCCAAAACGTCCAGACTCAGCCCTGCCTGATCCTGGTTCTCGGGCAGACCGGGAGCACACACTGGGAGTACACAGTCACCCCTGCCCAGGGCTTTCTGGCCACTGGCTCCAGAACACATCAGTTTGGTGCTGTAAGGAAGCCACCCCCCTGGTAACTCACTGAGCAACTCGAGTTGGCTTATTTATGACCTAGTAACTACTGGAAATGTGAATAGCAAACATTTGAATATGCGGTAGCCAGCTGCTCCTCTGTCCCTGCAGCAGCACAGACACACGCACTGCACACCTCACCCGGGCAGGGGCAGAGCTGCCCTCTTCAAGCTGTCAGCCCCATACCAGAAAGCACCATGGGCTCATCCTCCCTGCGGAGACTTCTGGGCCCCAGAACTGGAGCCCATTCATAAATTCTTGGGGCCCACAGAAACAGCAGGCGAGCCCAGCCCTTGCCATGCGGGAGCGTGCCGTGGAGCGGGGCCAGCCTAACACGGAATTAAAGCAGCAGTAATTTATGCAAATGTTCAGCGGAGCAAACAGCAGAAGGATTCCCTGCGAGTGCTGTCACCTTCCATCACATCAGCCTGGCCGCAGCTCTCCCAGGCAGCTCCCATCCAACCTCCCTCCTGCCCCGTGTAAATAATGACTTCAATTCCTGAGAACCGAGCAGCTCAGCAAATGTTTCCCGGCTCAGAACGGGCTCTGTCAGTGCTGCCCGTGAAGGGAAGCACAGCCAAACGAGAGCCAGATCTTCCTGGGAACAACGATACCCAGTCGCAGAGTAACGCTGCCCAGCCCACACAGGGGCCACCGCTGCACCCCTGCCCAACACCTCCCCACAGGTCCCAGGCTGCAGGAATCTCTGCAGACATTTGAGAGGGTGCAGAGAGCACCTGCACGCAGGGAACGTGGGCTGATCTGAAGCCTTGTCCGTGAAATTACCACAGCGCCTCCCCTCCCTATTTCCTCAGGATCCCCAGCAGCGCAAGCTCAGTTTTCTGCCCCACTGAAACGCCAGGCTGCGTCCCACAGAGGACGCCTCACACACTCGTGGCACAAAGGCAGCCTGTGGGCACAGGCAAGCGGGATGACAGATGACACAGCACCTCCTCCCTCCGCGCAGCAGGTCCCGAGGGACCGCAGCAGGACACCCTCCACGGTCCTCAGCACACATCAGCTCAGATCCAGCACACATCAGCTGAGATCCTCCCCACCGTCACCCTCGGAGGGTGATGCAGCAGCAGGGCCAGCAGAGCGGGATGCCAGCACTTCAGATTCCTGCTCAGTGAAGGGTGAAAGAAGCAGCCTCCCCACTGCCAGCGGAGAAGCCAGGTCTAGCAGGGAGCAGCCCACACAGCCTCTGCAACCAAACCCCCAATACTGTGCTCATGTAGCTGACAGAGGTGGTCTTTTCTAAAAAACAGTATTTTGCCAATATATTCAGAGCAAGGCAAGCTCATGACATGGAAGTAAGCACACCCCTACAACCCAGAGTCATTTCTGCCCAGCCTCGGGCCATGGACACGGAGGAGCAGCTGCCCTTCTGCAGGGACAGCGGCTCAAATCCACCCCTCCTCAAGCCAGGGCTGCAACGAGCTCCGAAGGTGGCTGCTCCAACAAGGCATTTGTATGCACGGTGACAGTGCCGCAGCCAGAGGGAGCGGGCAGAACACAGCAGGCGTACGTTTTGTTTTCCCTTCCCAGCTGATTACGCTCATTATGAGGCACAGGAGGACAGGACTATTCTCCAGACGCAGCCTCACACCCAGCCCTGCTCCTCTCTGCCGGACAGGTGGCGAGTTCACCACGCAGGGTCTCCTCCCGCGCTGCCAATCAACTCGCTCACCATCAGAGCAAGGCTGAGTAAAGCCCAGCTGGAGCCCAACCCCGCACAGGGCTCCGCAGGAACCCTGAGGAAGCCAGCTCAGCGCCACGCTGAGAAGACAAGGATACAACCTGGAGACGCACAGCGATCTCTGGTCAGAGCTGCCCTAGCGCAGCCACATCCCGGGCAGCGGGGCACAGGAAGCGCAGACGTGTGCGTGCACGCACTCCTTCGTACGCCACAGACTCACTGCAAGGAGCCTATGTTCCCCCCTGCATGAAAGCAGGCAAGACAACCGAATGCTTAAAAATAAGCTTCCCTATACCAAAAGTCTGTCAGAGGGAGTTAACCTCCTTTTCTTCCCGTTCATGCTATCGTGTTCTGTTACACAAATCCTTTTCATCTGCTTAAGAGAAAGAAAAGGACAAATACACTCACAAAAGAAGAAATAAAATAGACCCTGCTTGCTGCCATTCGCCAGGAAAGCCGTTTATCTACGCTTGCGTTGGGGCAGGGAAAGCACCCATGTGAGCCTGCATGCATGCACCCCTCACAATTCACTCGAATTTTGTGTTGTGTAGTCACCTGCATCTCAGCTCTGTGGCAAAAATCATGCACTAGTAGAGCTGCTCCAATCCCCAATGCTTAACACATCCTCTGTTTGCCTCTGCAAAGCCTTTATGCAGACACCATCCTGTTACTAGCACACCACAACACAGTATTTTACCCTGCCAATGCACACATGGGTCCCTGATCACACATCCAGCACTCACCTTGCACAAGGGGCTGTCCTGCGTAAGAGACAGAGCCTCTGCATCCAGTATCTCCTTGGAAAGCTGGCTCTCGAAGCCCAGGTCCTAAAGAAGAAAGCAGAAGAGGGTCAGTGTGTGGTGAGCATGGGCAGGTTTCGCCAGAGACCCTGAGAGAGGAGACCAAGATCCTAGCACAGCTTGGAGCCCACCTCAGCAGCCCACTGACAGCATCTTCTGCAGCACGAGGCATGTGAACAGTCAGGAAGGTTAACAGGACACGGGAGATGGCTACACCAGGGCTCGGGCCCGCATCCAAGCATAGGCAGACGGCCCTGTTAGTGGCTCCACCAGCAGCGAGCTGGGTTTTCTCCTTCCCTGTGCAGAGGCACAGGCAGGCAGGGTGGTTTAAGCAGAGCTGCCTGCTGGGCCGATGGCACTCAGGAAATCAGGATTCCCCACAGGCTGCTGCACACCACTGGTGGCCAAGGAGGTCCCTGCTCTGACAGTCCCCAAGGAGCCTCTCCCTGGGAGGGCAGGGGACCACGGTGTCACACAGTCCCAAGGAAAGTGCCACACGGGGAGGACACCACGGGATTGCAGGGCAGCGAGCTGTCACAGCACCAGAGCACCGACCACTGCAGGCAGGGGTGAGACACGGCACACCCAAAGCAAGCAGCACAGCTTCCCCCAGCCCCCTCTCATCTCTGGGAGCGCCGCTGATTTTCCAAGGTTTTTCCTAGAAGTCGGCTCCTGCGAGGTGCCCACAAGCTATTCACCGAGCTAATTCCTCCTCCTGGCAGCGTCTCGGGGTCCTCGCACGGGGCTGCACACACAGCGTGTCTGGGCACACATGCCCACAAGCGAGCACTACAAGAGGTATTGTTTGAGGCAGCAGCCGCTTGCCAACACACAGGCTTGTACTAACACTGATAAATAATGATATTCGCAGCCATTTGCTGGCCACGCTGCCTCTGCTCCCACTGGCAGATGGCAGTGGCAGTTTCCTGTGGAGATGAAGAGATGCTGATGGGCATCTCCCCCCATCTCAGGGCGACCCTCCTGCACGTTCTCCCTCCAGGACCTTCAGGAGCCAGCTCTCCTGGCTACACATACTCCCCTTGGAAAAAGCTGCCGAGTCCCTTAAAGCAATTTCCACATTGCTTATTATTTTCCTCTTCTTTGCAATTATCCGAGTAGCATCCCAGCTCTACGTGACCTACTTTTCCAGGGATATTTCCTCTCTCACAGACAGAGCCTGCTAAGCGTGGGCTGCCGTGGCTGGCCTGGGCTGTAAGGTCACTGCTCAGGAGCTAAGGAGTGGACTGCACGAGGTGGCCACAACGTTAACCGGCTGCACGTTCCCAGAGGAGCCCAAAGCCCACATCCAAGGGACAAGGAGCTCTAATGACTCACCACAACCAGAATCGGCTCGCTGTCCGAGTGGCTGGAGACCTGCAAGTCCTCCCCACAGTCGCTGGTCTTGGAAGCCTTGGAAAGCTGAGAGGAGATATGTGTTACAGCCTGAACGTGTGTACCCCCACAGCTTCACCCAGGCGTTTCCAGCAAGACGACAACCGACACTGGGAAGACAAATCTGGCCTCTCTAACGCAGGGAGGAAAAGGTGATTGCGTATCACAGGAGAGACACCACAAGACAAGCACAAAACACCACTTCAGAGATAAGACTGGGGAAGGAGGGCAGGGGTAGCAGACAAGACTGGGAAGGGCAGAGAAGTGCTCTTCAAACATCCCTGATAAAGGGCCCTTCACTGCTGTCCTCTGTTCCCTCTGCAGGGATCTCTGCAGCCGAGAACTCCCCAGCCCACCACGCAGAGCAGCACCATGATCTTAAAGGACTTCACAAGTGCACCATGCCGTGCCCAACTGCAGCGAGGGCTCCCGTGGTCCCTGCCATCACCAAACAACGTGGAGCTGCTCAGTGCCAACGCCCAGGTGGCCCTGCTGACTTCAGCAGAACTACCCAGACTTGAAGGGAGCATGCAGGTAAGTGCTGGTAAGAGTAAAGCTTTCAGCTTCAGTTCACCAGGACAGAGTTTTCCAGCTTATTTCTTACATTACACATCAACGGGACCATCTAAAAATGAGCAAGAACAAGGCTAGATTGGAAAGAGGTAGTTTTTCAGATCCCGTATTGTAACATTTCTGGCAAACACTGACCAGGAACGGGTAGAGCGCCTCTGTCTGGCACCGCAGCTGCGGGGTCAGCCCATCAAGCCACCCACACCCTGTGACACTCGATGGCTCTGCGCAGTCACACTCCCCAGTTGGGCTGCCCACAGCCAGCTCTCCCCAGAGCGCTAGAAAAGCAGCGGGAGCCGGGAGGGAGCACGCTCGGAGCAAGCCCCGAGGCGCCGTCCTTTCCAGCCCTGCCCTCGCACCTCCCTGCCGCATCCTTCCGCAGCCGGCAGCGCGCTTCGCTTCGCTTCGCACCCCTCCCCACCCGCGTAAGCCGAGAGAAACAACAGAAGGAGCGAAACAAAGCGGCGCGGACAGCTGGGCTCGGCGTGAGCTTCATTATGAAACCTGCCTGCTTCGGGCAGATGGCAGCACCGAAAGCTGAGACCGATTTCTGCTCCAAGACTCCAAACACGCGTCTCAGTTCAGGGGTTTTGCCTGTCGGTTGCTTTGGACAGCACTTTGTGTATGAATAAGAATGATTTCCTGGCTCCGCACTACAGACACCGATCTGGGGATTCAGAGCACTTGTGCCCTCTCAGGAACGCCGCGCTGATTAGGAAAGCGCTCACACGGACTTAACAGAAATGGAGTGAGTGCTCAAAGGGCTTTCCTGAATCAGGGCCTCACAAAGCACGGGGAGCAACCACAGCCACTGACACCAAAGCCACCCGTGCACGCACGTCTCTTACGTTGCCAGCATCC